CTAACATCTGTTAGTCTTAAGGTGCCACAGGACTCTCTGTTGCTTTTTACAGACCCAGACTAACACAGCTACCCCTCTGATACTTTCCCACCTTTGTGAATCACAAGCACTAAGTATCATGATTGCTAAGATACTGATCGCTTGGACACGGGGTCAATTCATTCTGAAACACACACAGGTTTGAGGCAGAATTCGGCATTTGTAGCCCAGGTGGGCTCGGGGGCTAAGTTTTACTTCCTGTCCTTAGGTGGAGCGGGTAGAGGGGCAACCGAGAGGTTTAATTTATTGCTTCTCTACAGCTGGAAGTGATACTGGCCCAAGAGCGAGCAAGCAAGGTGGACAGGAGGGACACTCCTTCTTTCCCCTCAGCAGCTCCTGCCCCCGGCAGCCGGACACTCCAGCTCAGAACCCAGAGACTCGGCTGCAGGCACATGGTAGCATTCTGCCGGAGAGAGGTGAAGGACGGGCCTGCATGCTGCATTCGAAGGCTCTTCAGTCTGGCCCGAGTTCTTGTAGAACCTGGGACGGCAGCTCACAACCGGCCAGGGCAGGGAGGCAGCCTGTCCTCACGCTTGGGCTGGTGGCTCAGCCCACGTCCACCCCCCCAGTCGAGTGGTGAGTCAGTGATCTCAGGGAGTACGCGGTTGTGCAGAAGCTACCCAAAAGGCGAGGCAGGGCACATGGAAAGTGCAATTAGAACTGCAGCAGAAACCCGCAGCACAAAGGAGCCTGTAACCCCAAGTCTCCGTCTCATGGCAGGTCAGAGGCTCCCCGGGCACGTGGCCGAGGTCAGGGCCAGGTGACTGGAAGAGAGCACTACTCTCACTCCAAGCCATAAACACGAATCTAAACAATTAACAGCCCCCTCCAGCTGAGACCCAGGGCTCCCTCCTTTGGCCCGGGGCAGCGGGGGGAGGTGGGGGGGGACGACTCACCTGAGATTCCCTTTGTTGGTGGCGTATTTGATGTGGTTGCAGATGTAATTGAACATCCCATGGGCTGTGGTGCAGTCTCGGGCATCAAACACCTGCAACAGTCGAGAGGGTTGGTCTGCAGAACTCTCTCATTCCTAAATGAGCCTGCGTCTCCTCCATAGCCGGCCCAGCCCACTGGAAAGCCCGAGGGGCCGACGCATTACAGGAGACGAGGATCTAGCTAGCTGTAAGTAGGGTCTAGCACATACATGCTCCCTGCCACTGTAGCATCTCGGCACCTCGTACCTCAGCCCTCTCCACTGCGGGGAGCCAAACTCAAATCCAGGATTGACATTTGTTCCGTGCTCCCAGTCTACTGCAGTCCCCAGGGTCATAAAGAGCGACAGACGTGTCCAGCCAACCAAAGCCACCATCAGCTCTGGCTCCCGCAGTCTCTCCTTAAGTGAGCCCCAGGGCTGAGAGATCAGTGATTGAGAGGCAGTGGCCTGGCAAAGGAAGGGGGCGAGTGCCAAGGTAAGCTAGGACTGACCTTCCTTTGCAGAGCCGCGCAGGGACGCTTGCAAGCATCTTCCTGCACTATGCCTTGCTGCAACGAGTCCTTTCCTTTCCACAGCCAAGTGCTCCCCCAGATGTTAATTAAAACAAAAGAAGCAGGAAGCTTCACTGTGTGTGAGAGGGGCTTGGCCTCCCAGCTCCAAACCGTGCTGAGACCCTGTATGAAATTGCTCATCTGCTTTGGAGTGACAGCTTCACGTGTGTGTGTGTTGGAGTATGGCTTCAGACTGCAACCCCAGCCCAATGTCACTGAAAACAATGCATTCAAACAACCCCCGCTCCAACCCTGAGTCAAAAGTGCACTGGGACTGGGGCTCTATGCAATCCTGGAATAGCTTCTTTGACTTCACCAGAGTTTTCCTCCCGTGGCCTCCATCCACGGCAAGGCTACAGTTTTTAAAGTAGCATGTGGCAAGTAGGAGCCCAGAACCCAGAATGTTTCGGAAGATGATAGTGTTACCCCCGAAGTCTGCTTTGCAAACACCGCCACCATCATCTATGCAACCCTCCCCATGAGCTTTCCTTCCAAAACCCTCTCCTCCCAGAGCCTCCAAACAAGCCTCTGCAGCTACAGATGAAAGGGTGGCATGGTTCTTACATGTACTGCCCAGAGCCACAAGCATGAGTCACCGTATCCTTAGCATCCAGAGAAACAGACGTGTCTCCCTTGATTTACCTTCCATGCCCATCAACTCCTCTAAGAGCAACCTGCCAGCTGCCGCCAGGGCAGGCTGCTGCTTACCTGTAGCTTGGACCATTGAATCCTGCCCACGCAGCGGGATGCATTACGCCAGGCGTGCTTTGCTCCGTAGATCAGCTCTGTGTCCCGCAGCTGGTAGGTGTCTGTGGTTTCAATCTCCTTGGTCACTTCTTCCAGCCTCTCCACGTGGGCCTTGGAGCCAAACCTGTGAGCATGGGGAAAGGAGACGTGACCAACTCCAGTTCGTAGGGCAGCAGATAGCGCCGGATGCTGTTTGTACACACGTATGCAGTCTGGTCCTGGTACACGTACACACATGCCAGCTGGAGGTAACTGTGGACCAATCATGATAATTGTGGGGGCAAGAGTTCCCCTCTGCCCCAGGGGTCAAACTCTGAGATGATACATTGTAGGATGAAATTCTGTGGAAGGGAACCTCCCTGGCTGTACCTGTGCATTACAATCTCTCGACAGAGCAGTATACCACATGCCCTTGTGCATGTACACCTGCTTGTGTACCCAGCTAGACACACACACAGAGCACAGATGCAGACCACTGGAAGCACAAGGTTGTCCGACATAGAGCAGAACCGTTCTGGACCTATAAATGCATGTCTGCAGTCTTTTGTTCTTTGGAGGCCAGCACAGATTTCAAATGGCCTGGCCCTTGGGTGTGTGCACAGCTGGGGCATGCAAAGCTAGTGATCTGACTATTGGGCACTGCAATTTGATCACAACACCACGTCTGAGTTTGCATCCAGCTTTGCCGGTAACAAGTCAGAGGTATTTTACCGCACCGCGTAGCTCCCGCTAAAAACCCGCCAGCAGCACCACCTGCGAGTGCTAGAAGACTTGCCTCTTTATGGAGGAGTAGTACTGATCAATGAAGTCCTTAGCCAAGGAGAGCAGCTGCTCTTTTGTCCTGGTGTCTTCTGGCTTCCGGATATGCTGGGTGGGCGTCATTACCGAGCCCATGCAGATCTGCTCTGTACACGCACTGGCCTGCAAGGACAGAAGGGCCACGTATGAACCATAGATTACTGGATGCACCACTGGTTACACTGACGTGGCCAACAGGACGGGCTGCACTAACGCTGGTGAAATGCCAGCTCCGGATTTGGCACAAGTGGTGATATCTCCAGTGTGTTTGCTTTCACATGTGCACTTTTTTTGGCACTGATCTCAGGCATACGACTGAGGGATGCCTGACCTACAACTGTGGCTCGGACAAGTGGGATTCATAAGAGTCCAACCTAAATCTTAGTTATAGCTCCATGTTCACCCTCTCTCCCCCAAGCCGGTCTCCATACCATCCTTGGAGGAAACAATCACGTATCATCAGCTTTGCGTCCTCCTTTCTTTTCAATGCTTTACATCCAGCCACTGTCAGCTGCTGGGAGGTAACAGATACCCACCTCCATACCTTACTTTCCCATCTCCACACTCCATAGTAGACCTTCCCTTACACCATACCTCCCCCTACTCTAGGGGTAAACACCTCTGCAACATTTCCCTGCAGAATCTACAACCTATCAGCCTAGAAGTGTACCCCACTAGCTATTGCCAAGAAAAGAGAACACCGGGATTGAAAGAGGGATAATGCAGTTGGCGTGCATTCTAATCATCCCCATTCCCCACCTTCATGTTCCACCAGCATTTGAAGGTTCAAAAGATCTCAGTTGTCTCTCTTTGATTCGTTCTAGTCTAGCCCACGACAGAGCAGCTCATTGAAGACGCCACGGCAGCACACAAGATGGGCTCATTTATTCAAAGCAGCTCTAATTCTTCCAGTTAAATCAGGTTTAGAGACATTGATTTGGTCAACTGCACTCAGAAAACATTGGCCAAAACACTCCGTCCCACTCACCATGGCTGTCTTGAGATGTAAGGTATCGTGAAGCACGGAGCCAGTCTCCCAGTTCTTGACTTTGGCAAACCGTGGGCACTTAGACGGGCTTCCATTCACCAAGTTCTTAGTTGGGGACTGTCTGTCAGATGGCGGTGGCTGGAGGAGAGAAAAATGATGATGTATCAGACTATGGCTCACTGATCAGTTACAGGAGAAGTGTAGGATGTAACAGCAGGTGGATCTTGGATTAATGGACTTCTTCACCTATGGAGGCCTGGTGAGAATTGTGTGGTCTTGACCTACATCCTAGTGAATATTTGCCCACACCAAAAAAATTTACTCTGGATAGCTGTAAAGTTAACTCTGTTCAGAAGAAGCCTAACCTCGAAAGAGCAAAGAGCCATAGAAATTAAAGATGGAAATTAATTATTAGCTCATGTAGTCCAGGGGTTGGCAACCAGCGGCACGTGAGCTGACTTTTTAGTGGCACTCTGCTGCCAGCCCGCTGCTGGCCTGGATGGACGGAACCCGGGCCGGCAGCAGGCTGAGCGGGGCCGGTGGCTGGGACCCCGTCTGGCAGGAACCAGCGGACAGAACCCCAGACCGGCAGCGCGGGTGGCAGACGGAACCCAGACTGGCAGCGGGCAAAGCTGTTCAGCCCGCTGCTGGTCTGGAGATCCGTCCGCCGGCCCCCTCAGCCCGCTGCCGGTCTGGGGTTCCATCCGCCAACCTGCTGCCGGTCTGGGGTTCTGTCCGCCGGCCCCTGTAAATGTAAAATGTATTACTGGCACTCAAAACCTTAAATTAATGAAGACTTGGCACGCCACTTCTCAAAGGTTGCCGACCCCGATGTAGTCCATTCCCTGTCAATGTGGGATTTTCTCCCTACATTACCTTCACTAGTGTATTATCTGCCATGGTTTTAAATGCACCAAAGCCAGTGCCGGTCGTTTGACTACTCCAAGGAAGGATGTCTTAATATCTGACAATTACTGTAAGGGAATGAACAGGAAGCAGGCCTCCCCAGTGCCCGTTTTTGCTGGAGAAATGAAGGGCTAAGGACAAGCATAGGGAGGAAGTGAAAGGACTTCTGAATTATGTACACTTGGACCACTCCCATCTCGCTCCTTGATATCCTATGTAGGTGTGTGCAAAGCCAAGATCTTGGAGCGAACCTCATTGTGCAAGTACTGACACAGCAATGAACATACTTGGCCTGCAGAGATCCTGAGTGACACCAGGGAAAAAACAGTTCTAGTGAACTTCAGAGGAAATCTGCTTTGGCAGACAAACTCCATGAAGATGCCAAAAGCTCCACACCCGATTGCTCTTGCAAGGGGGAGATATCCCATCTTGGAATTAGATCTGTCAGCAGAACGCAGTGTCATCATTCAGTATTACTAAGACCTGGTTGGATGTTCCATGGAGAAGAGATCTGGTCCCAAATGGGGGCATCCTATCCAAATTCACTCAAGTTTTGGGGAAGTTTGGAGCCAGAACAAAGCTTGGCGTCTCAAGCCCATCGCTGTAAAATAGATCCAAACTGCCTAAACTTTGGGGAAATTTGGATCTGGATCCAGACATTGGATCTGAACTTTGTGGTTCAGGTCCCTCTCTGAAGTTATGTCTACGCTACAAAATTATGTTGACTCAAGTTACGTCAATGTACAGCCACCGCAGTAATTAAATTGCTTTTGCACGTCCACACTATGCTCCTTGTGTCACTGGTGCATGTCCTCATCGGGAGTGCTTGCATCGATTTAATTGTCAGGGTGGGGCATTGTGGGATGGCGTCTGAAAGCCAGCAGCAGACAATGTAAGCAACACAGTGTCTCGACCTCACTACATCAACCAAAGTGCTACGCCTCTTGTGGAGGTGGAGTTATTAAGTCGGCATAGCGGGCAAGTTACATCGACGGGAATGATGTTTTAGTGTAGAGGCTTACAGAGTTAGGTCAACGTAAGCTGCCTCACATCAACCTAATGCTGTAGTGTAGACCAGAGGTAATTTATACCAACATTTAAAAAAAAAAAAGAACTGTTCTGCATTTTTCCATATTCTTTTTACTATTAATGCAGCTATTCATGGTCCTTCTCCGTGATCCTGTAGAGAAGCTGTAATCCTATGCTCATGACGTCATCACACATCATGAAATGGTTGCGATGGCACAAATTTGGCATTGTGACCTCACTAAATGGGGGAAAGAGATGAGCTGTGTTGAAGGAAGCCCGTGTTTCAACACGGCTAGCTTTGCCGATGAGCACACACTGGAAGAAAAATGATGGAACCCATATGAAGAATATGTAGATTAAATATTTTAATCCGATGTTATTAGAAAGCCCTTTCAAGGATCTAGTCACTTAAGATTCATCTGCTTCTCCTCGATCTAACTTTTCCTCCCTTCCACATTGAAATACAGACAAGGAAACTGCCTTCACTCTTTAGAGGCAATCACTCACTTGACACATTTGACAGGCCTGATAGCTGTGGAGATAACTGGTGAAGGACCCCCAGCCATCACTTGACCACCACAAGAAAAGGGCTTAGGTTCTAAAACTCACCAGGGAAGGCAAGTAATGAGACATTCCAGCAGCATCCGCTCTCAAAGCTGCGGTAGGAATTAGAACGAGAGCTCCAATTTTCTACTCAGGCCTCAGCCTGCTCTGCATTTCGTTGCACGACACAGAATTCTGCTCTCGGTCACACTGATGAAAATCCAAAGCCAGCCTCACTCTTCTCAGTGGAACGGCTCCAGCAACTGAGAGCAGCATTTGCCCCTGAATGTCCTGATAGATCACTTTGCTCCAGGTGAAAATGTGTCTGCTTTACAGAAAGGCGTAAGTGTTTCATAGAGAACAGAAAAGCCAAAGATTCTTCTCAGGCTTCTTTTTTAGGAATGCTCTGAAACCACATTGCAGCATATGAAGAGAAGCCGTGTCTGGGCTGGGTTCCTGAGCCAGGCTAGATAGCAGCAGTCACATGACTATACTGTACTAGTTAGCTGCTGGGCGGTGGCAATTTCACAAAACCCTTTGACAAGTCAAGTTTTTAAAAGTGTCTTTGACCCTGGAAAATGGGGATTTTGCTACTCACTTCAATGACAACAGGATGGTGCATCATCTGGTAACTTCCTCCATGTGCATGTGTCGGGGGGAGAAAGGGAACTCCGTCTGATACTACTGTACCATATTCTTTAGTTCTCACGGGCTCTGGAGTCTCTCGCTATCCCTGCTCGTGCTCTGTTGGGCTGCGTGTGGTCTCCCCAGCTCCTGGAGTCACGTGATTAAATGACGGTCTCTGCTTTCATTGTTTTAAAGTGTCTCTCTAGCCCTCATGGTTGCAGAATACAATTTGAAAATGTGAACCCTAAAGGCTCAAAATCTGGAGGCAAATCAGAAGAGCCCCAACATTTATTCTTTTCAAAATCTTGGATTTTTAAGCCAATCTCAAGGCTTTTGGCGGCCTGATGCATGGATTTTGGAATGCTCGGGGATGGCCACGCTGTAATCTTCTTTCCTACACACCTGCCTCCTTCAACAAATCTCAACCATTTGTGGGCCAACAACACTATTGCATGCCAGCTGAATTCACGGGAGCTGCACCACTGAAATGCACTGAGATGTGAATTTGGCCCTTTATTTCTCTGGGGATGAAGTTCCCATGACATCCACAGGATTCATAAAACTTTAATTAAAATTGACACTTGAAACCTCCCAAAAGAAAGGTTTCTCCCCACTCCCATCAGACATAACACACTGCAGCGAATTAGCAAACACCTTATGCATTACTGTGAAATTCATGTTTCCTGAATGTGGAAAGCAGATCTTTAACCAGAACCATGGAGCTGAAGTACCCACATGGTCACAGAGCATTATAAAGGCAGTTATACAAATGTTCCTATCTTCAGCAGTGGCCCAACTGAAAACCATCTGCAAAACACTAGTGAACTTTGGGTTATTTGTAATTTGGATCCAGCTGTTCAAGCTTCAGCCCACCTCAGATACTTTGTTGTGCTTGATGTTTTTCCTTGGGGAATTCTGTGGGGTTAGTGAAGTACTTGAAGGAGTGTGGGAATGTGTTAGATGCAGTGGGGAAGCATATGTGAAAAGACAGAGACAGAGATACATTACGCCGCGCTGAACAGGGCAGGATGTGTCCTCTAACGGCTTGGGAGAGAGCACCCAAGAGAGGCTCTCTCGCTTGGCTTGGCAACTGTGTGCAGTGTGACAGGAAAGAAACTGATGACCAGCAGAAAAATGCAAAGTGCTTTTTGCCTCTCCACTCAGCCTCATTGGCTTGCGTGCTTGAAACCAAACATTATCCGGGGTTCTGTCAGGGAGGTGATATTAGCGCCTTTTATGTTTTAATTAGGTAGCAGTGATATTAGCGACTCAGGCCTGGGACAAATGGAGAGATTAATGTCGCAGTCAGGGGCGCACATGCATTATGCAAAGGACTTTTTACAACAGAGCATGTTATCATAAGTACTAAGTGTGCAGATTAGTGATCCTTCTGCGGTGATTACATATGGATGTGAGAATGCAATCCAGCCCCCTGAGTGTTTGGTTTGCTTGGGTGTGTGGAAAAACCAGGGGAGTTTATCCCTTTGTGATGGCACATAAGGGCCGTAGTGCAGGTATACGCACCCCACAGCCAGGGAATACCCCCGGCACAAGGGGGCCTCTGCTGCAGCTGCTGCCTTTCCCCTCTCCACGTGGCCTAGTGCAGAGGGCATTTCAGAGAGGCTCAAGGAGCAACAGTTCTAGGGCAGAGTAGACAATTGGAGC